AACTTTGTCAGGATAATGTCCCATTAGTCTGCCACTTTTGTCACAGCAGGACACTTTGTGGGTTTGCTGATGCCTCAATAGGTTTGTGTTACGGATGAAAGACTTCACACTGCTCATATTTCAGTGGATTAACTTTAGTGTGGATGAGCTGATGATTTTTTTAGATGATGAAACCTAGCAAAAGACTTTCCACACTGAGCACAGTTGAAAGGTTTAACTCAAGTATGAATGAGCTGATGTCGTTTTAAGATGCAACTCTGAGTAAAAGATTTTCCACATTGATTACAGATAAATGATTTAACTCCACTGTGGATGAGTTGATGTCTTTTAAAGTGACCAATAAGAGTAAAAGACTTTCCACACTGATCACAGTCGAATGCCTTGACTCCAGTATGGACGAGCTGATGCTGTTTTAAGGTGCTACTCTGAGTAAAAGCCTTTCCACACTGACCACAAACAAATTCTTTAACTCCACTGTGGATGAGCTCATGTTGTTTTAAGTCTCCTTTCTGATTAAAAGACTTTCCACACTGATCACAGTTGAATGCCTTGACACCAGTATGAATGACCTGATGTGCTTTTAAGTAACCAAGCCGTGCAAACGACTTCCCACAGTGGTCACAGCTGAAATGTTTTAGCTCCTGGGTGGATGAGCTCATGGACTTTTAAGCTGTAACTGTGAGCAAAAGCCTTTCCACACTGACCACAAACAAATGGTTTAACTCCACTGTGGATGAGTTGATGTCTTTTTAAGTGAGCAATCCGAGTAAAAGACTTTCCACACTGATCACAGCTGAATGCTTTGACCCCAGCATGGATGAGCTGATGCATTTTTAAGTGACCAATCAGAGTAAATGACTTTCCACACTGATCACAACTGAAAGGTTTAACTCCACTGTGGGTGAGCAGATGTACTTTTAACCTGTAACTGCGAGCAAAAGCTTTTCCACACTGACCACAAACAAATGCTTTAACTCCACTGTGGATGACTTGATGTCTTTTTAAGTGACCAATCTGAGTAAAAGACTTTCCACACTGATCACAGCTGAATGCTTTGACCCCAGCATGGATGAGCTGATGTGTTTTTATGTGGCCAATCTGAGTAAAACCCTTTCCACACTGACCACAAAAAAATGATTTAACTCCAGCATGGATGACTTGATGTCTTTTTAAGTGACCAATCTGAGTAAAAGCTTTTCCACACTGACCACAAACAAATGATTTAACACCAGTATGCGTGACTTCATGTCTTTTTAAGTTACTAATCTGAGTAAAAGCTTTTCCACACTGACTACAAACAAATGCTTTAACTCCACTATGGATGACCTGATGTGTTTTTAAGTATCTTTTCTGAGTAAAAGACTTTCCACACTGATTACAGCTGAATTCTTTAACTCCACTGTGGATGAGCTGATGTGTTTTTAAGTCGCTTTTCTGAGTAAAAGACTTTCCACATTGATCACAGCTGAATGCCTTGGCACCAGTATGAATGACCTGATGCGCTTTTAAGTGATCAAGGCGATTAAAAGACTTTCCACACTGATCACACCTGAATGCTTTGACTCCAGCATGGATGAGCTGATGTACTTTTAAGTTGCTACTCAGCGTAAAAGACTTTCCACACTGATCACAGCGGAACGCCTTGACACCAGCATGAATGACCTGATGTCTTTTTAAGTTGCTACTCAGAGTAAAAGACTTTCCACATTGATCACAGCTGAATGCCTTAATACCAGTATGAATGAGCTGATGAGTTTTTAAGGGACCAAGTCGATTAAAAGACTTTCCACACTGATCACAGCTGAATGCTTTGACTCCAGCATGGATGAGCTGATGTACTTTTAAGCTGCTACTCCGAGTGAAAGACTTTCCACACTGATCACAG